TTCGTAATTGAGCACATAAAAAGAAGAATGTGGCGGCGGTGGCTGAGGTTTGATCTCAAAGCACAGAGAAATCGACAAAGTTCAAATGTCCCTCCCTTAAGTTGATTACTATTTGCTCCGCTTCCTGAAGTTCCTAGACCGCGTCCTGCAGAATTTTGGCACAACATGCTCTAGAAAAATTGGGGCCGCCGCTGCATTCTCAACTGTCTTCACGTGTGTTAGCAATTTAGCTAGTTAGCTTGAGCAGTGTATCTTCGGTACCCAAGTTCGAATTCTCAGCTGCATACTTGTACATTACTTTAAAGAAGTTTATAATATTTCAGGTGTATTAAATTAAAATTTGATTTTAAAGAATTTCAAGGAATTTGAGGGAATTTGAGAGATTTTGTAGTGTATTTTAAGCATCCACAAATCTCACCTCTCCCCATGAGATTTTGAGAGAATTAAATCAAAATTTTACATGAAATCTCTACAAATCAATTAAACTCTATAAAAATCCATGAATTTATAAATCCATTAAAATCTCTCCAATGCCCATTTGAATACAACACTATAAAGCTATATCAATGTTAAAAGTAATTTATTTAACCAACAAATACAGTTACTTGTGTTCACAATTATGTTTGTTATTTGGTAGGATTAAGCCAGATAAATTTTATTTGAACCCATGTAACATCTTTCTACGCCCAATTTAAATTTAAATTGTTAATTGTCTATTTTATCTTATTACATAATTATTATTAAGTACAAGATGAAGTTAATAATAAAACTCAAATTTATCAATAAACTCATTAAACCCTACCATCACTTCTTGTTTATCATACGTTCATCCTTGCTAAAGCCCTAATAGGTCTTGTAGAGAAAAACAAGTTTTTTTTATTGATGGATGGTGATTTTGAAGTTTTGAATCCTCCAACTAAGGTATGACTCAATTTATGAATATTTTGTTCGTTTGATTTCCATTTTTTAAAAAGTTTAGAAGATGAGTATTTGGGTTTCAAGTTTTTTCATCAATCCCGAATGGTTTGTCAAACTTTCTGCAATTGGAAAATTCTAAGGAAAAACTTCTTACAAATGTTCTTAGATTATAAACTTCCTTGCTTGTTGATAAATATAAGGGGATGAATTGTTTGATTTATTGCTTATGCACAGTAGAAAGAAAAAAGGCAAATGTCTGGGTTTGGTAGTAGAAAGAAAAAAACAAAAGTCGCCATGGAAATGCTAGTGGGAGGAGGGGATGGGGCAAGGACACCTCTTTTTTTTTTAAAAAAAAATTCAATTACAGATGTTATTTTATAAAGAAAACAGGTGTAAAGATAACTTAAATTTTGAATTGGGTTTGAGAGGGTAGTTTAGGTAATAAATTTGGATTTAAAGAAAGATTAATTCTTTAATAAAAAAAACAGTATGGATAAAGAGCGTAAGCTGGACGTGAAAAGAGGTTAGATGAGTTCAAATAAAATTTTCCTTAAGCTATTAGGTAGGAGACATTTTCGTCAGGATAAACCCTCGAAGACTAACCGTGTGTGTATATCCCGACGGTATAAGGAAATTATTGATATCAAATAAAAAAGCAATTTTATATGGATAAATTATTAAAAGAATTTTTCTCTACGCAACAGTGGTGGAGGATGAATGCTCCAGTATTCAAAAGAGAGGCAAAGGTGTAGTGGCGTATAGGCTTGCTGGTTATGGCTTGACGCACAGGACACTGTGTCACAAGAATTGGTTGGATGAACCTTCCGACTTGATTGTTGATCTCCTTGTAAAGGATAGTCATTTTGTGCGAGACACTCCTTTTCTTTTTGTCCGGCTGAATCTTTATGACAAAGTTGTTACTGAGACCCATACGTGAAGGAACCCTATCCTCTATTTGTATTTATTCTTCCGTAATATACTAAATTACTAACCCTGATTATCCATCTATAAATAAAATGAACGAGTATGTAGGGTATTTGGCCGGAGATATTTTCGTTCTCGATCAACTCTCGAAGACTGAAAGAGTGTGTATCCAATGGTAGGAACGATTACAAATGCTACTCTTTTCTATTCAATTCTCTCCTCTCTCTCTCTCTCTCTCTCTCTCTTCAGAAAATCATGATTTTTTCTTCTGCAAGTCCTCCTTCAATGATAACTATTCATCCTTCATCACCACCACCACCATCACCTCCTAGTTACGTCTATCAAAACAATCTTTTCTTTGATCTATCTCCATACTTATTTCTAATATTCCCCGTCACAGTAGTCTTGTACCATATAATTTGCAAAATATTTGGACACCCGACGACCAAGCCCCTTGATCTCGAAGCACAAAGAAATCAACAGCGGTCACGTATTGATCGTCGACCTCCTGCTAATAGTTTCAATCATCCTGCAAGAAATAATAATGAAAATTCCAATCACCATGGAAGAAATGATAATGTTCTTCGTCTTGGTCTTCCTGCACTACCGGCTGCAAAAAGGTTGCCACCACCGCAGTCTTCAACCGTTTTTACGTGTACTACTACTAGTGCTAGCGGCGCTGCTGATGAGTGCGCAATTTGCTTCGATGATTTGGTGGTGAGGCAAGTGTGCCGGTTGCTTGGTAACTGTCAACATTCGTTTCACAAGCTATGCATTGATCAATGGCTAGCCACTGGGGAAACCTATTGTCCCGTTTGTCGTGTTCCTGTTTAACTTTAGTATATCTTAGTCAACTTTCTCCTAGTTTCGATATATCTTCGCTAAGTTTCTTGATTAAGTGGGTTTCTGCTGTATGATTTTTTGGTTGATACACTAAATGTGGCAATTTCTTAGGAAAATATTGGCTTTTAGCTCTGGGAAGTATGTTTCTGATGATTTAATTTATGTTCATTTATGTAAATATACTAGCTATTTGAATGTGAAAAATTACTTTATGTATTCTGAATTGTCTAAATACATTTCCCTAGCCATGGTTTCTAACTGTGTCAAGTTTTCAAGTACGTAAATACAAATGTACATATATATGATGTAACTGTAGTGAGTTAGTTTATGCAGTATTCCAGTGAGGATCATATGAACACAGTCAGAATTCTTCAATACTTCAAGTCAGCTCCACGAAAGGGAACTAAGTATTCAAAGAATGACAATTTGAAGATAGATGGATACACTTGATGCATATTGGTCAAGCAATATCACTAACAGATGATCCACCTCTGATTAATTTTCCTTTTTTTGGAGGAAATTTGGGTACATAGTGAAGTAAGAAGCAAAAGCGGTTGTTGCATAAGCTGAGTATAGAGATATGGCTAAGGGACATTGTGAACTTTTCTGGATAAGGAGGTTGCTTAGAGAACCTAGGTTTTATATTGAGTTTGTGATGAATCTATATTGTGAAAATAAGGTTGTGATTGACATTGATTATAATCCAATTCAACATACATGTTGAGATGGATAGACACATCATCAAGGAGAAGTTGGAAGATCAGATTGTCAAGTTTTCATTTGTGAAATTAGATTAGTGGGCAGATATCTTGACAAAGGTGGTTGAGTATGAGCGTTGTCTATGCACCGTAACTTGATTTGAAGTGAGTTGTGTTATTAGAGCAAGTTATTCCACATGTGAAGCTAAACGGCCACACGCCTCTATGTCACCCATTCGTGGTGCCGCCCATGTATTTGGCTAGGATAAAGGGACTTGAAAATTGTTACACGTGAGCTACTCCTAATATCATAGATTAATTTCGTACTTTCAAGACACGACTCGAAATTTGACTAACAAATAATAAAAAATAATGAAAAAACTCTTCTATTAATCCCTTTATACGGGTGGGATACTTGAGTTTATATAAAACTCAAGCCACCTCTTTTGAAACACTTTATTGTTGCCTAAAGTTCCAACAAATATATGCAACTCATGCAATTGAATTTGAATTAAAACACTACTATTATTTTTCCTTCACACGTAAATTAAATATTATAACATTATAAATTAATATTATAAACATATAATTTCCAATATGAATTTGGAGATTAGAGAATCTACTCCGAAGAAAATACTATCTAGTCAAATACTTTGAATTCGTGATCCTTATTTCTAGGTACGATGCCCTAATCCTTCGTCACTTTTCAGCTTTATTTGCTTCTGTTTTCTTCTTCTTCTTCACGTCCTCCTTCCATGCCAACTAGTCCTTCACCACCATCACCTGCTAATTATGACGACGAAACAGCTTGCCGTGTAGTTGGATGGGTTATATTCGTATTATTCTTCTCATGTGTCTTATCTATTTCATGTCGATGTAAGTGTAATAGATTTAGGCGCCTGCGCCTTTATCCCGACTCACAACTAACTTCACCACAGCCACATATCGATCATCAACCTCCTGCTAATTCCAGTAACCCTGCAAGAAATAACAATGTTCTTCATCTTAACCAGCCTCCTTCTCCCAATTTGCATGGTCTTATTGATCTTCCTCCACGACCGGCTGCAAACCGTACACCACCACAGCAGGCCTCGATTGTCTTCACGCATAGTACTACTGGGACTAGTACTAACGCTGCTACTGATGAGTGTGTAATTTGCTTAGATGGTTTTGTGGACGGACAAGTGTGCCGGTTGATTAGTAACTGTCAGCATTCGTTTCACAAGCTATGCATCGATCAATGGCTAGCCACCGGGAAACCCTACTGTCCCGTTGGTCGTGCTCCTATTAAACTTAGTACTATATCTTACTTAATTGGTTCTGTAGTTTAGTTATTTTCCTACTTTTATGTTCTAGCTAAGTTTCTTAATTAAATGGTTTTCTGTAATTTAGTTCTGTCCCATTAATTTGTAGCTAATTTTGATGTTGGAAGGCAAGTCTTGGTGCAAAAGGAAGGTTGCTTTTTGTGGCTGATGGGTCATGTGGTCGAGTCATGGAAATAATCTCTTTGTCAAAAAAAAAAAAAAAAAAAAAAAAAAAAACCAACAAGAGTACCGTGTCTTTTGAACGAGACATATCAACCTTTCTTATTCTTATGGACAGTTCTGGAAATTGGGATTGCATTCAAACGTTCATAACTTCACCAGTGTCTTATTAAATTTCACTCGAGATATTACATTATACAAAGAAACTGGTGGTTTTAAACCTGACTCTGTCATGTCCTTGAGCAGCATTTCGGCATCCTCCCACTTCCCATCATTACAGAGAACTCCAATGGTCGAACTGTAGCTGGCCACATTTGGAATCATTCCGTTCCTTCTCATCTCTTTGAGCAGCCTCAGTGCCCTGTAAGAGCTACCCTCTCTGCAGTAACCATGAATCATCATATTGAATACGACATCATTTGGGTTCAAATGCTTGTCACCCATTGATTTGAACAGCTTCGATGCTTCCTTCATATCACCTTTCGTGCATAACCCATGAATCAAGACACCGTAGGTGTAAACATCAGGCACTACTCCGGCCTTCTCCATGGAGGAGAATATCTGAAATGCTCTTTCCGTGTAACCAGATCGAACCAAGTCATCGATCAAGATTGTGTATGTCACTTTCGAAGGAGAAACGCCTCTGTCGCTCATCTCTCTCACCAAATCAGAAGCTCTTGCAGAATTTTGTGCTCTAGCAAAGCCTTGAATCAAAACATTGTAAGTCACCAAAGTTGGAGACAGACCACTTGACTTCAACTGATTAAATAAACTCGAAGCCCTGTCCAACTCTCCGACGTTGCAAAACCCCTCAATCAGCGCATTGTACGTAACTACATTCGGACTAATACCCTCCCTCTTCATCCGATTCACAAAGTTATCAGCTTCCCAAATCCTTGTTTCCTTGCACAACCCACCGATCACGGTGTTGTACGCTACCACATTGCGAGCCACCCCTCTTTCACGCATTTCGTCGAACAGTTTCAGGGCTCTCTTCACTTCCCCATTACTGCAACACTCATTGATCAAACAAGTATAAGTACACACATTCGGAACAACCCCATTACTTTTCATCTTCTCGTAGAGCTCGAACCCATCTTTTTTATACCCTTTCTTGAAAAACCCATGAATCAAAACAGTGTAAGTATACTGGTTGGCAACCAAACCAACCTCCTCTATTTTTGAAAACATCTTCTTGGCACGCTCCAAATCGCCATTTTTGCAGCATCCATCGATCAATGTAGTGTACAAAACAACATTCGGCACCCAACCTAATTCCTCTAATTCAATCAAAAGCTCAAATCCCCGATCCAAATTGCCGGCCTCGCAGCAACTTTTCATCACTATCCCAAAACTATACACATCCAATTCAACTTTGCCCTTAAACTCATCGAAAACCCGCCACGCTTTTCCGTGATCTTTCGCCTTCACGAGAGACCCCAACAGATTATTGAAAGTGTTCGATCTGGGAACGAGGCCCTGCTCAACCATCTGCTTCAAAAAGTAAAGGGCTTGCTCCGGAGACTGAGATTGAGCATGGGCATTGACTATTGCTTCGTATAGATTGCCGCAGACGGAGGTTGGATTCAGATTGGGCTGAGTTAAGTGGCCGAGGAGGGAGGAAGGAGTGAAGAACGGTGAGGAAAGGCGGCCGGAGAGGACTTGGAGGATGAGGGACTGGGCGTGGGAGATCAAGTTGGAGGCGAGGAGGTGGTGGAGAATGAAGGAAATGGATTGATGGGAGTGATGGAAGCCGCGGAGGGTGGAGGAGTTGAAGATTGAGAAGGCTTTTAGTGGCGGGCTTTTAACCATTTTTTGAATCAGAAGCTGAGCTTCCCTCGTTAGCGACATTTTCCGGCAACGTCGTTATTTGATCTGCCTTCCTCCGATCAGGAACTTGGATTTGGTAGTCATTGCATGGCCATCGAAAAGTGAGCCGGGTAGAAATTTGCAGGCTCAAACCCGCTTATAACTTTACAAAACGGCTTATGGTGACAATAGCCCAACGATTCGGGTAAAGAGAAATGCTCTGGGGAATATTTTGAAAGTGGGAGTCTCAGTGAGTTTTTTGACACCTTTTAATTTTGATATAGTGTTTTTATAATATTGTTAAGAAAATTAACGTTACACTATGCATAAAAAATCTTATATTTTAACATAATACTCATATTTTATGATAAATATTTATTTGTAATCATTCATGTATTTTTTTATTAAAATAAAAAAATTCGCCCATGTTTTATAATAAATACTTATTATAACTATTATATGCTAAAGTTTTTGCCATGTTTTGCTTTCAATAAATTGTAGTACTTTACAATATATGTATTCTTCTATTTTTTATTTTAATTTTCTCAAATTTCCAATACAAGTATTGTTCTTTTAAAATGTAAATAGACACTTATTTATATGATATATGATAAATTTAGTAAATCCGCCTAATCCTCCTAGGCCCACTGTCTTTGTGTTAAGTCCTAGCCCGCTGCCCGATTAGCCCTAGCGGCTTTTCGACCTTTAGCAGAAACATGGGCCACATATTTTTTTTCATGTCATCATTTAACAGTCGTACTGGAAAGTCTCTCATGTTATTTCAATACAGCATATTAAACAACAATATTTAGTTTAAAATTTTAAGTTGTTATAGGGACAAACCGTATGTATATGTATACATTGTCTTCCTTGTTCTTCGTGATCAAATGAATGAAATTCTGACTTAAACAATGCAAATCAAGCTAATATGTTTTATATATATCTAGTATAAATATATACTAACCACATATAATTTTATTTTTCACGTATAAATTCTACTTTTTTGGTAACAAAATAAGATGTACTTTCTCCTCAATAATAAAGAAGGTTGTGGACGAAGAACTAACACAATTAAACAAAATTCTCAAGCAATTAATTTTGAAACTACGAAATATCAACAAAGAACAGAATTACAACAAATCGGACATTTGCTGGCCGTAGCAAGCCACTTCTCGATGCATTCTTGGTGAAAAGTATGCTTACACTTAAGAACCCGGCACTTGTCTCCTTCGTCGAACTCCTCCATGCAAATTACACATTCATCGCCGCAAATTCCTATTTTTTTGTCCAGTCGGTAAAAGAAAGGTATACCGAAACACATTCGCCGCAACGGCTTAATTCGGACTCGTCTTCTTCCTCCTGGGTTTAGTGCTTGGGTTAATGTTCCGGATTCGATGTCGTGCGTTTGATTAGCTCGTTGGTCGACATTGGTCTTGACGATCAAAAATATAAGTATGGCGACTAATGGAATGAGTATGGCGAGTAGGAGCAGTGGCTGAACTTCTGCTGCTGGTGGCAGTAAAGGTGGTGGAGAAGGAGGAAGCGTCGGAGCAGCCGACACCATGGCGAGGTTATGTGAGTGAAAACGTATGCCACTGTAGTTGATCTGTATACCTTTCAAGTTAGGAGTCGTTGCTGTTTTGCGTACAAGGATCAAGGATTGCTACAAATTATATAGTACTTTAGGAAATTGTATTGTAAGTCCTTAAGGAATAAGGAAAAGAAAAGAAGAAAGGGAAAGTTTCTAATCTAGGGTTTTGAAGCTACAGGGTACACCGTCGGAGGGGTGCGTGTGTGGGTAAGTCAACATATTAACAATCCGAATTACATAAGGATAAATACCTATATGTGATGGGATGTGATTTATGTATATACTCATGCCTCTTCTGCAACCCTTTATATCCTTCCATTTTTTAATAGGAAAACTAATGAAAAGTGCTTGAAAACTTTGAGTTTTAATGATAAGGACAAAATAAAGGGTAAAGTGAATAGTATCAAGTTTGACTTTTTAGTGTAAAAATGTGGTTTTTCGTTAAAGTGAACAGTACCGTGGGCTTTTCGTTAAAACTCCCTTTTTTAATTCAATTTAAAAGGCAAATTAAATAAGAGAGCTTTTCTTCCTAAGCTTGGGCCATCATACTTCTTTCTATGCGGAGCTCCATGCTGTCATCCTTGCTGTCGAATTGGCCCACGCGCGGGGCTGGCAAAATTTATGGCTTGAAAGCGACTCTTCGAGTGTAATATCATGTTTTGCTTCTGGATCTTTCTCTCCCCCTTGGTCGCTCCAGACACGCTGGAACAATTGTACTCTCCATTTGCAGAACATGGTTTTTCGTTGCTCTCATATTTTTCGAGAAGGGAATGCTGTTGCTGACAAATTAGCCAATTTATGGCTTCTATCATCTTCACTTGTCTGGCATTCCTCTCCTCCGATTGAGATCCTCCCTCCTCTGCACTCAGATTTCTTGGGCATGCCAACCTACAGGTTTGTCTCCTCTTCTTGATGTGTCTTCTCTTTTCTTTTCCTAACCTTTTTGGATTCCCTTTTGTTTTGCAGTTTGTCTTGCAGGTTATTACCTTTTAAGGTTTATAGAGGGGTTTGGGCTTATGTCCGCCTAGTCTTTTCCTTGTATTTTCTTTTCCAAGAGGGGTACGGTCTATGTCCCCCCCTCTTTTTCCGGCATTTCCTTTCTTAAAAGGGGTAAGGTGCATGTCCCCCCCTTTTTCTTTTGTATTTCTTTTCTCTTGTTCTATGAGGGGTTAGGTTTATGTCCCCCTGTCTAGGTGTAACTTCTTTTTTCCTATCAATAAAATTCCCTCGTACCGCCGAGGTTCTCCAAAAAAAAAAAAAAATTAAATAAATAAATAAAAAAAATAAATAAATAAGAGAGCTTTACGGATAGAAATAAAACACAATGTACATTTCATAAACTCCATTATTTTTTAATTATTTCGAGGAGAGACAAAAATACATAACCAAACAAACTTAGCCCAAAAGCAATCAAACTAAAATTTTAGAATTTGAGCCGTGCCCACAATAGGCTTGTTAACTAAGCCAAAACTATAAACTGACAGCATCGATAAAACTTCAAACTAATTTTAGATCCGTAAAAATTAATTTTAGTGCTTTTGCAAAATCAGTTTCACAATTTAGGCACTTCTCTGCTAGATAAGTTACAAAATTTTATGCACTTTTATGTGATCAATTTCACACTCTATGCACTTTTACATGATCAATTTCACAATCTATGCGCTTTCGCAAAATTAGTTTCAAAATTCCAACAATCCTGCAAGATCATATTCAAAATTCCAGCCAATTATGCAAAATCAGTTTCAAAATTTGAGCACCTCTACAAAATTAGTTTTAAAATTCTAACATTTTTGCAAGATCGGTTTCAAAATTCTAGCAGTTCTGCAAGATTTGTTTCAAAATTCAAACACTTTCGTAAGATATGTTTGAAAATTTTCAGCACTCATGCATATCAATTTTGAAATCCCACCATGTGTGCAAAATCAATTTCAAAAATCTCACACGTCTGCAAGAGTAATTTCAAACTGCAAGATCAGTTTCAAAATTTTCAACACTTCTGCAAGATCAACTTTAAAATTCCAACATTTTACAAGACCAGAATTCCAGCATTTCTACAATATCAATTTCAAAATCTAAGCACTTCTCAAAGATTAGTTTCAAAATTTTCATCATTGATTCAATATCAGTTTCAAAGTTCCAGCATTTTTGCAAAACCATTATCACATCACCAGCACCACACCATCGTTATCTTGTTTCCATCTCCAGTCTCCCCTGTAATTTCCTCTAGTAGCAAAACGCGTCAATTAGGCAACCCAAAATCCCAGAATCCAATACCATTTTCTCAATCTCGTCCATAAGCTATGTATCTCTAGATTTTGTACTACTGCTACAAGTCACTTGCACTTGTAGCAACTATCAAGCAATGAAGTTCGGGGTAATAAAAAAATTTAAAAAAAAAGTTAATTACAATTGTGATGACGCTCTCAATCTCCACAACCATTCAAATTCAATGGAAATTGAAATTTAAGCCCCAAACGAGAAGTGACTTGCCCCAGAGGAGAGGAGCACTCCTCTTGCTCCACCAACACAACTTTGCCGTGCTCCTACTGAAGCTTTGTGCTACCGGTCGTGGTGGTCGGTGCAAAAGCTGAGAAGAGAGAGATGAAACAAAACAGAGAAACAGGGACGAAGAGAGACGATGGGGGAGAAATGGAGTAGGGGTTTAAAAGTTTTTTTTTCTAAAATTATAAACATGTTATTAATACTTTTGAGATTTTTATTAAAATATGGGTAGGAAAATAGGACAATGGGGTGAGATTATCAGCACTCTTTAACAAATTGTTTATGAAGATAAAGCCAACGATAACTAAACTGATCACCAACTAACAGGTTTTGGTCACTTATGCTATTAGTTTGAGGCTTAGATGTTGTATCATTGTTGGTTCAGTGTGTAGTTTGGGACCAAACTGCACCATGCTCTCCTAGTTCCCCTTTGCATGACATGTATAGTTGTATACCACGCAAACTAGACAATCTTTTTTTTTCTAAAAAAATTCTAAAAAAACAAATTATTATTGTTATTGAGGGGATGAGAGGGTTCTAGACAATTACAATAATTTTTGTAAGTCTTGCCTGCAGTGCAGAACCAACACCAACAGCAGGATCCATGGCCCTCCTTCTTGCCTCAGATCTCTCAACAGCAACATCAGACCTTGTGTTGATCAACCTTCTGATCTGCTTACTAAAGCTCTTCATCAGCCTTGTCATGGTGTTCTATGCTCCAAACTCGTCCAATCACGCTCGTTCGGTTTGCGGTAGGGAGTGTGTGAAAATAAATTAAGGAGAAATTAGGTTTACATCCTTCTTTTTGCTACTCCATTGATTAAAATCCTATTCATTTTCAATTTTTGATCAAGGTCCTTGGATATTAATAGCATCATTAATTATTTGAATAATAAAATAAATTTATTTTTAAATATATTCCTTTTAGTATATTTATATTTATGGCCAAATTTTTTATCATATATTTTTATTTTTAGTTTGTACCTATTTTTAATTTGTACCAATTTTTTTTTCATTTTTAATTTGTACAAATATATTAGTTTCTTTTTGTGCCAATATTTTTAAAGTTTTATTTGTGTTTGTACCCACCCATATGTATACCGTCACGTGATATTGTATATTTAATCAATGATAAAAAAATTACATATGGTATATTTATGTTTTATGCCTAAACTTTGTATCATATATTTATATTTTTAGTTTGTACCCACTTTTAATTTGCAATATTGTTTTTAATTTGTAGTATTTTCTTTTTAGTTTTATTTTGTACCCATGTATTAATTTCTTTTAGCGCCTATATTTTTTAAAAATTCATTTGTACTCATAATTTTTTAATCTTTTATCTGTACCCTAATTTATTTATAATGTACCCATTCTTCTTTATTAATGTACCACTTTGTTATATGTGAAATGTACCAATTTTTTTAACACTATGGATACTTTTTTTTGCTGTTTATTATTTCTTATTTTTACATAGTTTTTATCCATTTATTCAATCAAAATATTTGAATTTTTTTATTGTAACCATTTCTAATAGTATTATAATGAGGGATTTTAAATTTATAGGATTATAAATCTCATAAAATATCAAACAATTAATTTCAAAACTATAAAAATAAAAATATTAATTGTAATATAATGAGGTGTACAAAGTCAAGGGAATTTGATCAAACTTTGAATATCATTAAGGTTTTAGTCAAAGAATGTTAATGATTAGGGATTGCATCCAAAGTATCCCATAAATTTAATTAATTCAGAATCTTTTCTTTAACTATAAGAATGTAATTTCATATTGTAATTATAACGTAAACATTATATGAGGTTAATATAAGGAGTCATAATTCTATAGTTTTTAGCTCTTTAAAAAATGCCGAAAAATCCTTAAAAATCATTACAAGATGCACCAATTTTGCATTTTTATTTCAAAAGCCTCAATGAACCCTCCACAACTTGCAAATTATTGTGGTACTTCTTTATGTGAGATATATTATGCTTACCGACATGTCCACGTCCATGACTTGTATTGAACCGTGCAATGACCCTTTACTGTATTAGTGGAAACAATTATGAGTATGCATCCTAATACGGGTTTGATTCCTACGATCCTCTTGATTTAACAACTAACAATTTAATCTACTAATATTATCGCTTGTAAAAAAAATTGATTTGCATCAAACCAAAGTTACCAAACAACCTCATCAACAGTAACACAAATTTATCTCAATCATAATTGGACTTAAAATATAATATTAATGTAATTACCACAATATAGAAGCTCAATTAAGACTAATTATATTGCGCAAAACCCTTTAAGAAACTACAAAACTAATACCATACTTGGTTGTGTGCGTCTTTGATTCTTTGGATATTGACTAGCCACAATTCCGAGTACACGCACCGCGAACAGAAGCACGACAAAGGAGACAGTGCCTATTCCTTGGCAGCCTCGTCGATGCATTTCTGGTGATACATGTGGTTACACGTGGTCAGCCGGCATACGTCCCCATCCTTAAACTCCTTGAAGCAAATTGAACAATACTCCTGATCTTGATCACTACAAGTACAGCTTTCACTTCTTCGGCAACTATTCCTTGTATATGTGAAAACCGTCGAGGCTTGTTCTGGTGTTTGTGCTGATCTTGGGTTTGTTCATCAGTTGGGCTATTTTGCCTTTTACAGTACAGTAGAAAGACATAGATGATGGTTAAGGGCAAGGCTACTCGCAATATTATGTGTACTAATATTGTACTGTTGGGCTATCCTCAGATTGTATGTATTCTTCGTTGCTTAATGAATATCGTACTGTTTCTCAAAAAAAAAAAAAAAAAAAAAAAAAAAAAACTTGAATAGAAAGATAGCAAAATCGGGTTTTTCCTATATGAGTACACCAAAGACAAAGTGAATCATACAACAAACCCAACTTCATTTTTCTTTTGTCTTCGATCGATCACAAGCTTCAGAATGTTTTACGTGAATTTCTTTGCTGCAGTTTTTGCTTTCACCTTTAGTCTCATGGTAGTAGGCATGCGCTTGGTATTAGAGATGTGCCCTTTCAACTGAACTACAAAGTTTCATATAGCCCGGATCATACACAGCTTCTTAACCGAAACGATGAAATTGTGCTTTCGATAGACGAACATTCAGGTTCATCTTCCTAACTGTCTTAGAATACATGTGTGTGTGTGTGATTTCAGGTTTTGACTTGTTTTTATGGCAGTTAATTTCGCAACCGAATGATGATGAGCAACGACATGAGGTGGATTTTGAGTTCTTAGGTTCTAATACACAACATTATCTGCTAAGCACAAATGTGATTTCCCATGGCAACCTACATAGAGAGCAGCAGTTTGCTTTATGGTTTGATCCTGCTGCAGATTTGCATTTTTACCAAATTCTGTGGAATCGACACCAATTAGTGTAAGCTTTCTTTTTATTATTTTCTTTCAATATCATATTTGGGTTAAGTTTGTGATATTTTTGTTGTGCTAGGATAGCATCAAACCCGTTGGAACAAACTCAAGTTAACCCACAGGAAATATATCAAATGGAATGCAAGAACAAAATATAAAAGACACCAATATTTTAACGAGATTCCTCAACAGTCAGTGTAACTGGAGTACGTCTTCGGAGTAGTAGGAGCTCACCCAATAATCCACTATCAACCAAATGGAAGTTTACAAAGTGTTGGCAAGCTCACAACCCAAACCCCAATACAACCAATAGCTCTCACACACCAAAGAAACAAATAGAGAGAAATATAATGAATAATTTCCTCTCTATACAAAGCTCAAAACTATTACAACAACAACTATCTGGTGAGTGATTACTAACCAAAGAGAATAACACTTTCTTCTTCTCTTCAAAGAGGGGCTTCGACACTACCTCTTCTTTCTCTTCTCTGCTGCTGCCTTTATTTTTCTGCTACTCTTCCCAAATGGCAGCTGCTGCCCTAATTAAAACTTAGCCACTATCCTGTGGCTTTCATAAAGGGCCAAATAAAAAAGACTTTAGACAAGTTGCCTTTTTCTTTTCCCCAAAACAAGGAAGGGACACAATGATGTTGTCCACCTTTTCTTTTCTTTTATTTAATCAAAAGGTATTTGCAAGTTGACCACTAATTTTGGCCATTATCCAACAATTTTTTCAATTAAGTACGTGAAAGATTCTCATTAATTTATGTTTTCTAAATTTTATTTTTCAGGTTATTTGTGGATGGCACCCCTATAAGAGTGTTGAAGAATGGCCCAAGTATTGAAGGGATTTTTCCAACAAAACCCATGGAAATACAAGGCACCATATGGAATGCAACATGGGGATCCCAAGGAAAAGCAGTTAACCGGGGTGAAGGACCTTTCCATGCCTACTATCAAGGATTTGGCGTTGATGGGTGTTTAACCAAGTTGAATAATCCTCAAGAATGCTATGGTCTCAACTATGAGTGGAACAGAAAAGAGTTATGGGCATTAAACCAGCATCAGCAAAAGGCATATGAGCATGTTAGAAGGAAGTACTTAACATATGACTACTGCACGAAGACCAGCAGTCCAACCCCAGAATGCAACATCAACTACTAGTGGCACGTTTATGTACCCGTAATCGGAATCAACTTTTGGAATTGGATTTGGATTACGGGAAACACCTTTGTTTATGTAATCTTGGGGAATCAAAATACATGTGGGGTCCACATGAATTAAGGAATCCAACTCTTAATTTTGGAGGAATTGGACTCCCTACATGAGGGAGGTATTTCAATTCCTTGACACTTGAGGAATCCGGAATGGATTTCTTCTACCAATTATGCCCTTACTTGTTTCTTATTATCCCAACATTGCCCTTCATTTGACACTCATTATGCCATCTTTTAATAAATAAATAAAGCCTATTTATATATTTTTATATAGATGAATTTAATTTAATTTATTAGTATGAAAATAATTTATTTATGTAAGGGCAATTTAGTAATCAACCTAGTTTTCATTTCGATTAAAGTGAATTAGTAAACAATTTATATGGACTCAACATCATTTCTACCATCTTTTAATAAATAAATAAAACCTATTTATATATTTTTATATAGATGAATTTTATTATATAAATTTAATTAAGAATTTAATTTAATTAATTAGTATGAAAATAATTTATTTATGTAAGGGCAATTTAGTAATCAACCTAGTTTTCATTCCGATTGAAGTGAATTAGTAAACAACTTATATGGATTCAACATCATTCATACTCCGATTCCAGACAGTTTTAGTAAATAATTTTAACAGGAATCTGATTCTGATTCCACCTAATTTCAATTCCTCTTCAATCCAATTCCTCCTCAATTCAATTTCTCTCAATTTGATTACGGATTAGTAAACGCGCCATAGAAGTCTAGAACACATTATACCACGTTTTATCTTGTCAAACATTGCGTGATTATAAATTGATGATTATAAATAATTAAGTAAAGGTTTAATCTGCACCAAAATGTGTACATTTCCTGAATTGAACAAAGATCCAAAGCAGAGTTTGACTATTTCTATTTTGTTTAGGGAGGTTTAAATTCTTCTATATTTCGATCATTAATTGGAATTTGTATAAAAGACAAATTACATGAAATGTTTGACAAAAATAAAAAATTAAATTACATGAAATGGAAATTAAACGTATAATGAAATGGAATAGTATATTAGCTGGGAACAATCGTCTGATGGAAATTTATTCTTATGTTTAGTTAAATTTATTTTTAGCGCGAATTGAATCTAAAACTTTTAAGCGCAAAAGAATATGCATGACCTCGAGTCCGAAGTTTAATTCTCTAAGTACTGGTTTGGTACTGATGTACTTTTATAAAAAGTGGGTATAAAAAAAAGCTGAGCTAAAAAAAGTATTTGGTAAACACTTAAAAACAGCTTATTTTCACAGTTTTGGGTGAAAAAAAAGTTGAAAACGTGTAGCAGCAAAATGAACTTATTCTCACAGCACAGTAGAAGTTTTTTTTCCTTCAAAGTATAGCAATACCAAACTAGCCCGAAATCATCTGGGTTATAAGAACTTGGTGATAGCACTGCTAAAAATCAAACTCAACAACTCGGTAGGTCCAAATCCAATCAAAACAATAGGCCCAATTATGCATCATACTATACCTTGCTACCAAACGGCAACGTTTCTTAGCATACAAAAGACGGTTGGCAATTGGTGTTCAATGTCGGCCAAAAAACATTGAAATAAAAACGGATATGTTTGATATATTCAATCGGCTTCACAAAATCCTTTCGTTCTTCGACAAGCTTCGTTTCGTTTCGCCTCGTTTAGCCTCGTTTAGCCTTGCCGCTCGGATTCAAAGGTAAAGCTTTAATCTTTCCATCTCAATTTTCTCTCTCCATGATTCTCCTTTGTCAATTGCAACGAAGAACAAACCCTATAATTTAAATCCCATCGCACGGACAATTTTCGATTCTCTGTTTCAAAATAGCTCGAAATTGTTATGTAATTTGTTGTAACCGCAGCTCGATTCTATTGCATTAATTTCTGCTCGCTAATTGTAATTAGACATCTTATTAGGAGTTCTAAAAACCCTAAAATTTGAATTTCAAATTGTTGAGTTATCGAGCCTCTTTTAAGTTTAATAACACTAGGGTTTCGTATTGATCGAAATTCGATTTATTTCAAGTAATTTTGTGTGTTTTTGTTTTGTGGGTGTTGTAGTTTTTGAGAGTTTTGATTTAGTTTGTGTCTCTTTAGGGTTTGATCTTCGAATTTCAAGATGCCTGCCACAGCGGGAAGGGTTCGCATGCCCGCAAACAATCGGGTACACAGTAGTGCCGCCCTTCAGACCCACGGTATATGGCAGAGTGCAATTGGGTATGACCCCTATGCACCCAACAAAGATGACACCAAGAGCACTGCGCAACCCAATGTGTCGAACGATGAACCGGATGGTGAGAATGCATATGCTAGCTTCCAGGGCCTCCTTGCGCTTGCCCGTATAACTGGGTCCAGCGCTGACGAGACTCGTGGGTCTTGCAGCAGGTGCGGCCGTGTTGGGCACCTCAAGTTTCAGTGCAGGAACTTTCTGAGTGTTAAGGAAGATAAGGAGAGAGAGCCCGAAGGGATTCAGGGTGATGTTGCATCAGAATTGGCTAGGTTGAAGAGGAAGATTGGTAGGACCAGTGGTAAAAATGTGGAAGAGAGTGAGGAGAGTGAGGATGAGGATGAAGACAGTGAGAGCGAGGATTCGGATTATGATTCAGAGATTGAGAAGATCATTGCTCAAAAAAATGGGTTAAAGGTTGGTAAAAAGGAGAAGTCAAAAAAGAAGAATGATGACTCAGATGATGATGGGTCAGATTCGGATTCTGGGAAGAGGAAGAAGAGAGGAAGGTCGAAGAAGAGGAGGAGCAAGAGGAAACATGCTGATGATTCAGATGATTCAGATGAAGGTAGGAAAAGAAAAAGGAAGGAGAAGCGTAGGAAGAGGGATGAGTCCTCGGATGAGGACGGTGAGCGTCGGCGGCGGCACAGGAAAAGTAGGAAGGAGAAGAGGAGGAGGAGAAGTCATCGGCATTCAGATGATTCTGAATCTGATTCGTCTGATGATTCTCGTAGACACTGCAGTCGGAGGAGCAGGAAGGCAGCAACACCATCTGATTCTGAAGATGATTCACGCGTAGGTAGGGGCAGGAAGCGGTCTGAGAAGAAGAGCAGCAAACGCCATCACAAGGATGATGAGTAAATCTATCTAGGAATGGATTCGAACCATGTACACCAGCACTGTCATTGAATTCTATGTAGTATATGCTTTTGCAACCTTTGTATTGCTTCTGTTAATTTGCTTGGACAAGCTTCTTTTGCGTTTCGATCTTCTGCTTTGTGGGATGAAACTGTCACTTTGCTGATTCAGAAGTTGGAATTTCTCTGGTAATGTGTATTTAATCTTGTGCGTTTTCTGTTAAAAGTGTCTACACTTCATACCGTGTGATCATGTATGCATCCTTTTCTCATTACCAATCGTTTATCAGTTGTGATTGTTTCGATGTTTTTTTTTTCTATGATTATGTATTTAGTTTAGAAGGTTCTCTATTTTAATCTTTGTCGAATTAGGGTTCTATGTCGCCCTAGATTGTTTCCGACAATCTTCTAGTTCGAATGCAAGCATAGAACGTTGTTTTTAGCACTCCAAAATTATACATTTGTGAAGATACTTTGCATCATCTTATGTAGAATTGTTATCTTTATTGTCGACATTCATCACCTTGTGCGTGTTGGCAGTTCATACTTCATATGACCACTAGTCAGTTTTTATATGTAAAGAAAGGGGGGGAGATTCTCCAGGAAAAAACAAGGCAACAACAGGCTAAGACGGGAATGAAGGCGCGCTTTCTACTCCTTTGCTGATTTGATGACTAATCTTGTGTCGCAGCGCCCTGGTTGAGCTCTGCAAACCTCATGCCAACACGCATGGAATGCTTTAGGAACTTCTCGGCACATCGCCTGACACAGGTTTCCTCTTGCTTCTGCAGTGATTTGTGCTTAAAGGTGTCGACACAATCATTGAAGCATCTCTCAACAAGTGAGTTATACATTCTCAAACTGCAAGCAAACCCATATTGTTAGCAGGTTGGTTCCGTCCTTTACAATGATAACGGCATCAGAAAAGCTCATTCAAATACCCCACAAACACATCCTATACAGAAACTCGGCAAAATACTATCTCTAGACGACAGTAACAGTTCCTTTTCATACAAATAAGCATCCAACTACGTTAATTATGATGTTCCTTTAATACCAAGTCACAACTTGAAGTACAAATGCCTAGATGAAAAAGCGGAGGAAGTACAAGCTGTACAAGCTTATGACAGAAGGTACCAGATAATTGCTTACGGCTAAAAGCCACAAGGTTCAGGTGATTAACCAGTATATCAACTAATTTTCTTTTTGTTAATTGGGTAAAACACATGCACTCGGGGATTAACACCATTTGCATCAACACAACTAATGTAGTTCCCAAAACGTCCAGAAGCAACACAGATGTTGCACTGGTTTTAAGGAGAACTTTCGTATGGCTTCACAAACAGAGTTTTCACAAAATTAAACCAAGTGACCCACATCATACGAAAAGGAATTGTGAAGCAACAAATCCAGTCAGTCAAATGCTTTGATATTCCATGCACTTCACAAAGATACTAAGACCACATTTGGTACCTTGGACTTGAATAGATTGGACAACTCACAAGATTCATCAGGTGATCAAACAGTAATTCATTAATTTTCTTTTTGTTAATTGGGTAAAACTCACACTCAGAAATAATCAACATTTGCATAACACGTATCTAATGTAGTTCCCAAAACGTCCAGAAGCAACACATATACGCTGCACTGGTTTTAAGGAGAACTTCTATATGGCTTCACAAAAAGAGTGATCACAAAATTAAACCAAGTGATCCAAGTCGTACAAAAAGGAACTGTGAAGCAACAAATTTGAGTCAATCAAATGCCTTGATATTCCATGCTCTTCACAAAGATACTAAGGCCACATTTGGTGCCCAGGACTTGAACAGATTGGACAACTCACAAGATTCATTCAACTGACAAGATTCATAACACGTAACTAATGTAGTTCCCAAAACGTCCAGAAGCAACACGCATACGTTGCACTGGTTTTAAGGAGAACTTCTATATGGCTTCACAAAAACAGTTGTCACAAAATTAAACCAAGTGACCCACATCGTACAAAAAGGAATTGTGAAGCAACAAATCTGAGTCTATCCAATGCCTTGATATTTCATGCTCTTAACAAAGATACTAAGGCCTTGTTTAGTGCCTAGGAATCGAATGGATTGGACAACTCACAAGATTTATTCACGGTAATTTGAGTAAATGGGGACTGACTTCAAAATTTTATTCAGGTTGATGTAGAAGATGGATGAGTACAACAACAACAACAACAAAGCCTTTTCCCACTAAGTGGATGTAGAAGATGGATGAGTCAGGAAGGAAAATTTTCCCTTCCAATCCCCACGAAATGGTAGGACTGTAAGTTAATTCCTTGATGATATGTGTAGATTCAATTGTTAAAAATGCATTACAAGAACACTACCAATAAACTACACAAGCACTACAAAGGGACTAACAAAGGAATCTCAAACGACACCTCTCATTTCAAAGTTCCTTTAAATGTATTGCATCTAGTCGTTTTCGAGTCCCTCTATCTAACTTTTGTAGTGCATTCTTAGCAAATTTAGCCTAAGTTCCATGGAACCTTAAAAGTTCCTCATCGAAACACACTATTAACTTCAACAAAATGTGGATGTTGCCATTTCATATCTTACTTCAACATATATTGAATCTAGTAAATTATCCAAGCAATCCCAATTACGGACACTAAACGTGGCCTAGAAAACAAACATTTCGGTAGGAATCCAATCGCAACCGAAAATACAAGGCATTGCGTTACAGAGCACAGATTGAAAGCATGCCAAAGAATTACCAACTGACCCACCAGCCAATATATTAGAAATGCAAAAAACAAAAGCCAACCAAATCCAAGACATCAAACATGCACTACCAATAATTCTATCGCAAACCCACAAACTCTCACCTCATAAATTGGAAAAATTTGCAGACTTCGATGACTATTTTTTTACTACTATGAACCAAATTTCGAATTTTTCATCATATTCTTAAGCTGAAATTCACAGAATTTAACAATCAGATGAGAAATTTTACGATTGAAGTGGAAATTAAGGCAATGAATTATAGAGAGAGATGACCTGTCGCGGATCTGGAGCTGGTCGATCATGGTGGCCATTCTCATCTTATCTTCCTCTGGAAGCGAATCCAGATCTCCTATCATGCTCTTATCCATCCCGGATTGTATCGAATTTCTCCGATTTCAGCTTAACTGCCTCACTCACTCTGGAAAAATGACGAAGTGAGGTTAGGGTTTATGGAACAGGGCAACAGATCTCTGTCTTTATAGTGA